ATGGCCACCCTTTGGGGCCCCCCCCCTCGCAGCGCTTGGATGCGGCGGCACTCGGGGCATACCCGGATGTGGGTACACGGAGGGGGGGGACCCCCCCCACCTCCCCCAGACCCCCCCCCTTCCCCAATGGGGGGCCCCCCCGAACCCGAATAGAGCTTCCCATTGCTAAAGCGCATCTCCCTTAGGGGGTGGGACCCCATCGTCGTGGCCCCTCCCCCGCTGCTGTGGGTTGAAGGGGGGACCCCCCCCGACCCCCCCATTTGGGGGACACCCCCCCCCGGACCCCCTCGACCCAAAGGCCTCCTTCGACGGCGCGCACGGGAGGGCTTGCGGCAGGAGACGGCGCGGCGCAGCTCGCGGAGCATCTCGTTGCATAGGGAGAGCTGTGGGGCGGGCGAGATAGGGCTGAAGTGGGGCCCTATAGGGCGCCTATAGGGTTCTATGGGGCAACCGGGGCTCTATGGGGAGATTCGGGTACACACAGAGGCTATGGGGAGCTCCCGGCTCATCAGAGCCACTTGGGTACCACTCGATGGGGAGCCATTCAGCTCGCATCTCCTATGGGATCTATGGGACCCCATATCTCCTATAGGACCCCCCCATCCCAGTCCTATGGGGTCTCACGTCCCCTATGGAGCCCCCCCACAGCCCCTATGGAGCCCCCCCACAGCCCCTATGGAGCTCTCCCCCATCCCATACAGACCCCCCCCCCCCATGCCCCATGGGATCCTCTGGACCCTAATGGATCTCCCTATCCCCTATAGATCCCCCCACTGCATAGGGGACACGCTGTCCTCTATGGGACCCCCCCATATCCCACAATCCCCTATGGGAACTCCCGTGTCCCTCATTAGCCCCATTGTCCCCCCCATTGCCCCTATTGCCCCCCATTGCCCCCATTACCCCCCATTGAACCCCATTGCCCCCATTGCCCACCATTGACCCCATTGCCCCCACTGCCCCCCATTGCCCCCATTGCCTCCCATTGCAACCATTGCTCCCATTGCCCCATTGCCCCCATTGTCCCCCATTGACCCCATTAACCCCATTGCCCCCATTGTCCCCATTACCCCCATTACCTCCATTGTCCCCATTGCCCCCATTACCCCCATTACCCCCATTGCCCCCCACTGCCCCCATTAACCCCATTGCCCCCCATTACCCCATTGCCCCCATTGCCCCCCATTGACCCCATTACCCCCATTGACCCCCATTGACCCCATTACCCCCATTGCCCCCATTGTCCCCATTACCCCCATTACCTCCATTGTCCCCATTGCCCCCATTACCCCCATTACCCCATTGCCCTCATTGCCCCATTAACCCCCTTGCCCCCATTGTCCCCATTGCCCCTATTGACCCCATTACCCCCATTACCCCATTGCCTCCATTACCCCCCATTGCCCCCATTACCCCATTGCCCTCGTCCCATTAACCCCATTGCCCCCATTGTCCCCATTACCCCCTTTGCCCCCATTACCCCCTTTGCCCCCATTCCCCCCATCACCTCCTCGCTCTCGGCTGAGCGCCGCGTTGACCACACGAACTCCACCACAGCCACGAAGACGGCGACGATGAGGCCACAAACCAGCACCACGAAGATGCCCCCAATGTTCTCCATGCCCAGCCCTGGAGGAGGAGAAGACCCCACGCATTCATTGGGCTCCATTGGGCACCATTGGGTTCCATTGGGCTCCATTGGGCTCCATTGGGCACCATTGGGTTCCATTGGGCTCCATTGGGCACCATTGGGTTCCATTGGGCACCATTGGGCTCCATTGGGCTCCATTGGGCTACACTGGGTTCCCTTGGGCTCCATTGGGCTACACTGGGCTCTATTGGGATCCATTGGGTTCCATTGAGCTCCATTGGGCTCTATTGGGCTCCATTGGGTTCCCTTGGGCTCCATTGGGCTCCACTGGGTTCCCTTGGGCTCCATTGGGCTCCATTGGGCTCTATTGGGCTCCACTGGGTTCCCTTGGGCTCCATTGGGCTCCACTGGGTGCCATTGGGTTCCATTGGGTTCCCTTGGGAGCCATTGGGTTCCATTGGACACCATTGGGTGCCATGGGGTTCCCTTGGGCTCCATTGGGCTCCATTGGGTGCCATTGGGTTCCATTGGGGTCCCTTGGGCTCCATTGGGCTCCATTGGGCTCCATTGGGTTCCATTGGGTTCCATTGGGCTCCATTGAGCTCTATTGGGCTCCACTGGGTGCCATTGGGCTCCACTGGGTTCCCTTGGGCTCCATTGGGCTCCACTGGGTTCCCTTGGGATCCATTGGGTTCCATTGGACACCATTGGGTGCCATGGGGTTCCCTTGGGAGCCATTGGGTTCCCTTCTTCTCCACTGGGCTCCATTGGGCTCCACTGGGTGCCATGGGGTTCCCTTGGGAGCCATTGGGCTCCATTGAGCTCCACTGGGCTCTATTGGGATCCACTGGGCACCATTGGGATCCATTGGGCTCCACTGGGTTCCCTTGGGCTCCATTGGGCTCCACTGGGCTCTATTGGGATCCATTGGGTTCCATTGGGTGCCATTGGGCTCCATTGGGCTCCATTGGGCTCCATTGGGTTCCCTTGGGCTCCATTGGGCTCTATTGGGCTCCATTGGGCACCATTGGGCTCCATTGGGCTCCACTGGGTGCCATTGGGCTCCACTGGGTGCCATGGGGTTCCCTTGGGAGCCATGGGGTTCCCTTGGCTCCATTGGGTTCCCTTGGCTCCATTGGGCACCATTGGGCTCCATTGGGCTCCATTGGGTTCCATTGGGCTCCATTGGGCTCTATTGGGCTCCACTGGGTGCCATTGGTCTCCACAGGGTTCCATTGGCCTCCATTGGGCTCCATTGGGTTCCCTTGGGATCCATTGGGTTTCATTGGACACCATTGGGTGCCATGGGGTTCCCTTGGGAGCCATTGGGTTCCCTTGGCTCCATTGGGCTCCATTGGGCTCCACTGGGCTCCATTGGGCTTCTTCCTCTTCCATTGGGCTCCAGGATCACCATTGGTCTTCACTGAGCTGTGTGTGTGTGTGTGGGGGGGGAAATCACCTTTCTCCTCCTCTTTGCAGCTGCAGGATGGCCAAGGTGATCTCATCGCGGAACGGGGACCCTATGGAAGAGCGCCCATGGGGGGGGGGGGGCGATGGGTCTCCCGTGTTGAAGATGGAGACCTCACCCCAACACTGGTGCGTGGGTCTTGTGTTGTCCGTGTGTGTCGTCCCCCCCCCATACCCAATGGCATGCCGATGCCATAGCCCTTGGTGTCCAGCAGCCCCCCGATCTGGGTCAGGTTGCAGTTGTGGCGCCGGTGGTACTCGTTCATGGTGGACTCCAAGAGGAAGGCGTACTTGGAGTTGAGGACGCGGGCGATCCCTTCCTCCGTGCTCTTGACGAAGACGCTGGGCTGCTTGGACTGCATGTAGTTCCACATGCGCTGGTAGGTCTGGTACCGCGAGTTCTGCGGTGGAACGGGGTTGGGGGGGGGGGAATGTGGTGGGTCTAGGTTGGGTTGGGTTGGATGGGTTGGGTTGGATGGGTTGATCTAGGTTGAGTTGGGTTGGGTTGGATGGGTTGGATGGGTTGATCTAGGTTGGGTTGGGTTGGGTTGGATGGGTTGGATGGGTTGGGTTGGGTTGGATGGGTTGGGTTGGGTTGGTTGGGTTGGGGGTTGGGTTGGGTTGGGTTGGATGGGTTGGGATGGGTTGGGTTGCATGGGTTGATCTAGGTTGGGTTGGGTTGGATGGGTTTGGTTGGATGGGTTGATCTAGGTTGGGATGGGTTGGGTTGGATGGGTTGGGATGGGTTGGGTTGGATGGGTTGGGATGGGTTGGGTATGTATAGCTTGGGTTGGGTTGGATGGATTGGATGGGTTGCTTTGGGTTGAGTTGGGTTGATCCAGGTTGAGTTGGGTTGGATGTGTGGGGTATATATAGGTTGGGTTGGATGGGTTGGGATGGGTTGGGTTGCATGGGTTGGGTTGGGTTGGGTTGGGTTGGTTTGGTTTTGATTGGGTAGGGTTGGGGTGGATTGGGTTGGATTGGTTTCGGTTGGGATGGGTTGGGTTGGATGGATTGGATGTTGCTTTGATGGAGTTGGGTTGGGTTGAGTTGGGTTGGATGTGTGGGTATATAGGTTGCATGGGTTGGGTTGGGTTGGGTTGGGTTGGGATGGGTTGAGATGGGTAGATCTAGGTTGGGTTGGCTTGGATGGATTGGGTTGGCTTGGATGGATAGGATTAGATGGGTTAGGTTGGATGGCTTGGGTTGGATGGCTTGATCTAGGTTGGGTTGGGTTGGATGGGTTGGGTTGATCTGGGTTGGGTTGATCTAGTTTGGGTTGGGTTGGGTTGGATGGGTTGGGTTGAATGGATTGATCTAGGTTGGGTTGGGTTGGGTTGATGTGGGTTGGATGGATTGGGTTGGGATGGGTTCCGTTACATGGGTTGGGTTGGATGGGTTGATCTAGGTTGGGTTGGGTTGATGTGGGTTGAGTTGGAAGGTTTGGGTTGGTCCAGGTTGGATTGAGCTGGGTTGAGCTGGATGTGTTGGGTTGATCCAGGTCGGGTTGAGATGAGTCCATCCAAGTTGGGTTGGATGAGATGGATTGATCCAGGTTGCGTTGAGCTGGATGTGTTGGGTTGATCCATGTAGGGTTGGGTTGGGTTGGGTTGACGTGGGTTGATCCAGGTTGCGTTGGATGGGTTGGGATGAGTTGAGCTGGATTGATCCATGTTGGGTTGGATGAGATGGGTTGGGTTGAGCTGGGTGGATCCATGTTGGGTTGGATGGGTTGGATGGGATGGGGTGATCCAGGTTGGGTGGGGTTGGATGTGCTAGGTTGATCCATGTTGGGTTGGATGGGATGGGTTGGGATGAGGTGGGCTGATCCATGTTGGGTTGGGTTGGGTTGAGCTAGGTTGACCCAGGTTGGGTTGGGGTGAGCTGGGTTGACCCGTGTTGGGTTGGGTTGACCCAGGTTGGGTTGGGTTGGGTTGGCACAGGTTGCCCCATGTTGGGTTGGGTTGGATTGATCCAGGTTGCCCCACACTGGGTTGGGTTGGAATGACCCATGTTGACCCATGTTGGGTTGGGTTGTTTTGACCCGGCTTGAGATGGATTGACCCGGGTTGAGTTGGATTGACCTGGGTTGGGTTGGATTGACCGGGGTTGGGTTGGGTTGGGTTGGATTGACCCGGATTGAGTTGGATTGACCCAGGTTGGGTTGTGTTGTGTTGGATTGACTGAGGTTGGGTTGGGTTGGTTTGGGCTGACCCAGGTTACCCCATGTTGGGTTGGGTTGGGTTGGGTTGGATTGACCTGGGTTGGATTGGGTTGGGTTGACGCAGGTTGCCCCATGCTGGGTTGGGTTGGGTTGGGTTGACACAGGTTGCCCCATGCTGGGTTGGGTTGGATTGACCCAGGTTGGGTTGGGTTGGGTTGAGTTGGATTGACCCAGGTTGCCCCATGCTGGGTTGGGTTGGGTTGCCCCAGATTGGGTTGGGTTGAGTTGACCCATGTTGCCCCATGTTGGGTTGGATTGACCCAGGTTAGGTTGTTTTGGGTTGGATTGACCCAGGTTGGGTTGGGTTGAGTTGAGCCAGGTTGCCCCATGTTGAGTTGGGTTGGGTTGGGTTGGATTGACCCAGGTTGGGTTGGGTTGGGTTGGATTGACACAGGTTGCCCCATGTTGGTTTGGGTTGTGTTGGATTGACTCGGGTTGCCCCATGTTGGGTTGGGTTGGGTTGACCCAGGTTGCCACATGTTGGGTTGGAGTGACCCATGTTGGGTTGGGTTGGGTTGGATTGACCTGGGTTGCCCCATGTTGGGTTGGGTTGGGTTGGATTGACCTGGGTTGCCCCATGTTGGGTTGGGTTGACCCATGTTGGGTTGGGTTGACCCATGTTGGGTTGGGTTGGGTTGGGTTGCCCCAGGTTGCCCCATGTTCAGTTGGATTGACCCGGGTTGGGTTGGGTTGGGTTGGATTGACCCAGGTTGGGTTGGGTTGGGTTGAATTGCCCCCGGTTGCCCCATGCTGGGTTGGGTTGGGTTGGATTGCCCCATGTTGGGTTGGGTTGGGTTGGGTTGCCCCAGGTTGCCCCATGTTCAGTTGGATTGACCCAGGTTGGGTTGACCCGGGTTGGCCTGGGTTGGGTTGGATTGACCCAGGTTGCCTCATGCTGGGTTGGATTGCCCCATGTTGGGTTGGGTTGGGTTGGATTGACCCAGATCACCCCAATCCCCCCCCCCCCTCCTTCCCCCCCCCCCCGAGCCCCACACCTGGAAGAAGGTCATGGTGGACCCGGCGTGGATGGTGCCGTACTCGATGTTGGTCTGATCGGCCAAGTCATCGGCCGACTCGATGGGCACCTCCATGCGCTGCACCGTCAGGAAGGCCGCCAGGTTGGCCGTGTACGACGAGATGATGATGAGGGTGAAGGCCCACCTACGGCGACACCATGACGGGGTTGGGGGGTGGGGGTGACATGGGGGGCTCATTTCATGCATCAACCCCCCCATCCCACCCCATAGTCGCTATGGGGCTCACCAGACGCTGCTGACGCAGCGGGTGGACAACGCGCGCGGCATGATCTCGGAGCCCTGCTGCATGAAGCCGCCGACGGGGAACCAGAGGCTGTTGCCCAACGTGTATTGGTTCTCTAGAAGGTTCCGGCGCTCCCGTAGGCACGGGTGGGGGTTGTACCACTCGTAGGGGCTCAGCCTGTTGGGGGGTGGGGATGTGGGGCGGGATGTGGGGGGGGGGGGATGGAGAGGGTAAGGGGGGCTTCCGTAGTACTCCAATCGCCATCGTTGACCTCAATGGGAGGTCCTTGAACCCAATCGTTGACCCCAATGGGTGCTCCAAGACACCCCAAACCCCATCGTTGACCCCAATGGGTGCTCCTTGAACCCCGTCGTTGACCCCAATGGGTGCTCCAAGACACCCCAAACCCCATCGTTGACCCCAATGGGTGCTCCTTGAACCCCATCGTTGACCCCCATCGTTGACCCCAATGGATGCTCCAGGACCCCCAAAATCCCATCACTGACCCCAATGGGAGGTCCTTGAACCCCATCGTTGACCCCAATGGGTGCTCCAGGACCACCAAACCCCATCATTGACCCTAATGGGTGATACTGGATCTCCAAACCCCATCGTCAACCCCAATGGGTGCTCCTTGAACCCCATCATCGACCCCAATGGGTGCTCCTTGAACCCCATCATCGACCCCAATGGGTGCTCCTTGAACCCCATCGTTGACCCCAATGGGTGCTCCTTGAACCCCATCATTGACCCCAATGGGTGCTCCTTGAACCCCATCATTGACCCCAATGGGTGCTCCAGGACCCCCAAACCCCATCATTGACCCCAATGGGTGCTCCTTGAACCCCATCATTGACCCCAATGGGTGCTCCAGGACCCCCAAACCCAATCATTGACCCCAATGGGTGCTCCAAGACACCCCAAACCACATCGTTGACCCCAATGGGTGCTCCTTGAACCCCATCATTGACCCCAATGGGTGCTCCTTGAACCCCATCATTGACCCCAATGGGTGCTCCTTGAACCCCATCATTGACCCCAATGGGTGCTCCTTGAATCCAATCATTGACCCCAATGGGTGCTCCTTGAACCCCATCATTGACCCCAATGGGTGCTCCTTGAACCCCATCATTGACCCCAATGGGTGCTCCTTGAATCCAATCATTGACCCCAATGGCTGCTCCAGGACCCCCAAATCCCATCATTGACCCCAATGGGTGCTCCTTGAACCCCATCATTGACCCCAATGGGTGCCCCAGGACCCCCAAACCCCATCATTGACCCCAATGGGTGCTCCTTGAACCCCATCATTGACCCCAATGGGTGGTCCTTGAACCCCATCGTTGACCCCAATGGGTGCTCCAGGACCCCAAAATCCCATCATCGGCCCCAATGGGTGCTCCTTGAACCCCATCATTGACCCCAATGGGTGCTCCTTGAACCCCATTGTTGACCTCAATGGGTGGTGCTGGAGCTCCAAACCCCATCATTGACCCCAATGGGTGCTCCTTGAACCCCATCATTGACCCCAATGGGTGCTCCTTGAACCCCATCATTGACCCCAATGGGTGCTCCTTGACCCCCACCCCAACCCCATCGTTGACCCCAATGGGAGCTCCAGGACCCCCAAACCCCATCATTGACCCCAATGGGTGCTCCTTGAACCCCATCGTTGACCCCAATGGGTGCTCCTTGAACCCCATCATTGACCCCAATGGGTGCTCCTTGAACCCCATCATTGACCCCAATGGGTGCTCCTTGAACCCCATCATTGACCCCAATGGGTGCTCCTTGAACCCCATCATTGACCCCAATGGGTGCTCCTTGAACCCCATCATTGACCCCAATGGGTGCTCCTTGAACCCCATCATTGACCCCAATGGGTGCTCCTTGAACCCCATCATTGACCCCAATGGGTGCTCGTTGAACCCCATCCTTGATGACCCCAATGGGTGCTCCTTGAACCCCATCCCCCAATGGGTGCTCCTTGAACCCCATCATAGACCCCAAAGGGTGCTCCTTGAACCCCATCATTGACCCCAATGGGAGCTCCTTGAACCCCATCGTTGACCCCAATGGGTGCTCCTTGAACCCCATCATTGACCCCAATGGGTGCTCCTTGAACCCCATCGTTGACCCCAATGGGTGCTCCTTGAACCCCATCGTTGACCCCAATGGGTGCTCCTTGAACCCCATCATTGACCCCAATGGGTGCTCCTTGAACCCCATCGTTGACCCCAATGGGTGCTCCTTGAACCCCATCATTGACCCCAATGGGTGCTCCTTGAACCCCATCATTGACCCCAATGGGTGCTCCTTGAACCCCATCATTGACCCCAATGGGTGCTCCTTGAACCCCATCGTTGACCCCAATGGGTGCTCCTTGAACCCCATCGTTGACCCCAATGGGTGCTCCTTGAACCCCATCGTTGACCCCAATGGGCGCTCCTTGAACCGCATTGTTGACCCCAATGGGTGCTCCTTGAACTCGTTGACCCCAATGGGTGCTCCTTCAACCCCATCGTTGACCCCAATGGGAGCTCCTTGAACCCCATCATTGACCCCAATGGGTGCTCCTTGAACCCCATCATTGACCCCAATGGGTGCTCCTTGAACCCCATCATTGACCCCAATGGGTGCTCCTTCAACCCCATCGTTGACCCCAATGGGTGCTCCTTGAACCCCATCATTGACCCCAGTGGGTGCTCCAGGACCCCCAAATCCCATCGTTGACCCCAATGGGTGCTCCAGGACCCCCAAATCCCATCATTGACCCCAATGGGAGCTCCTTGAACCCCATCGTTGACCCCAATGGGTGCTCCTTGAACCCCATCATTGACCCCAATGGGTGCTCCAGGATCTCCTATTGGGGTGCTATTATGGGATATCCCTATTGAGGTTCATTATGGGATATCCCTAATGGGGTTCTATTATGGGATGTCCCTATTGGGGTGCATTATGGGATGTCCCTATTGGGGTGCTATTATGGGATGTCCCTATTGGGGTGCATTATGGGATGCCCCTATTGGGTGCTATTATGGGATGTCCCTATTGGGTGCTATTATAGGATATCCCTATTGGGGTGCTATTATGGGATGTCCCTATTGGGTGCTATTATGGGGTGTCCCTGTTGGGGTGCATTATGGGATGTCCCTATTAGGCTTCATTATGGGATGCCCCTCTTGGGTGCTATTATGGGATGTCCCTATTGGAGTGCATTACTGTATGTCTATATCGGGGTGCTATTATGGGATATCCCCATTGAGGTTCATTACGGGATGCCCCTTCTGGGGTGCTATTATGGGATGTCCCTGTTGGGGTGCATTATGGGATGCCTGTATTGGGGTGCTATTATGGGATATCCCTATTGAGGTTCATTACGGGATGCCCCTACTGGGGTGCTATTATGGGATGTCCCTATTGGGGTGCATTACTGGATGTCTATATTGGGGTGCTATTATGGGATATCCCTATTGAGGTTCATTACGGGATGCCCATACTGTGGTGCTATTATGGGATGTCCCTACCGGGGCGCATCACCTGGCAGCCAAGAAGAGGACGCAGCTCACGGCCAGGTAGGCGAGGAGCATGAAGAACCACACCGCTGGCGAGAAGGGGTCTAGGAAGGAGAAATACCCCGGCTTGCGGCCCTGTGGGGACACAGCATGAGACCCCCATGGTGGCACCCATGTGCGGCTCCCCCCTTAATCCCCCTACGGACCCCCATGGCCCTACCCCGTACCATGTGCACCCGGTAGAGGATGCTGATCCCCAGCGTCATGAAGGGCTTCGAGAAGTCGATGACCTTCTCCCGCTCCGCCGTGATGGTGAAGGCGGCCACGGCCAGGTCGGCTTTCTATGGGGTGGGGGGGACACACAATGGGGGGCATGGAAGGGGGTGCCCCAAGGCAACCCCAAAACCCCCTATTAAATGGTCCAAGAAACCCCAAACCCCCATAAGATGCCCTCAAACCCCCCTAAGATGCCCTCAACCCCCCCTAAGATGCCCCCAAACCCCCCTAAGATGACCTCAAACCCCCCTAAGATGCCCTCAAACCCCCTTAAAATGCCCTCAAACCCCCATAAGATGCCCTCAAACCCCCATAAGATGCCCTCAAACCCCCTTAGGATGCCCCCAAACCCCCCATAAGATGCCCTCAAACCCCCCTAAGATGCCCTCAAACCCCCTTAAGATGCCCCCAAACCCCCCTTAAGATGGCCTCAAACCCCATAAGATGACCTCAACCCCGATAAGATGCCCTCAAACACCCTAATATGCACACAAACTCCCATAAGATGCCCCCAAACCCCCGTAAGATGCCCTCAAACCCCTACAAGCTGCCCTCAACCCCCATAAGATGCCCTCAAACCCACTAATATGCCCTCAAACCCCCTAATATGCCCTCAAACCCCCATAAGATGCCCCCAAACCCCCATAAGATGCCCTCAAACCCCCCTAAGATGCCCTCAAACCCCCATAAGATGCCCTCAAACCCCCATAAGATGCCCTCAAACCCCCTTAAGATGCCCTCAAACCCCGTAAGATGCCCTCAACCCCGATAAGATGCCCTCAAACCCCCTAATATGCACACAAACTCCCATAAGATGCCCCCAAAGCCCCCTAAGATGCCCCCAAACCCCCCTAAGATGCCCTCAAACGCCCATAAGATGCCCTCAAACCCACTTAAAATGCCCTCACCCCCCCCAAGGTGCCCTCAAGCCCAATAAGATGACCTCAATCCCCCTTAAGATGCCCTCAAACCCTCTTAAGATGCCTTCAACCCCCCCTAAGATGCCCAAAACCTCATAAGATGCCCTCAACCCCCATAAAATGCCCTCAAACCCCCTAAAATGCACACAAACGCCCATAAGATGCCCCCAAAACCCCCTAAGATGCCCCCAAACCCCCATAAGACGCCCCCAAACCCCCATAAGATGCCCCCAAACCCCCATAAGATGCCCTCAAACCCCCCTAAGATGCCCCCAAACTCCCGTAAGATGCCCTCAAACCCCATAAGATGCCCTCAAACCCCTTTAAGATGCCCCCAAACCCCCCTTAAGATGCCCTCAAACCCCATAAGATGCCCTCAACCCCGATAAGATGCCCTCAAACACCCTAATATGCACACAAACTCCCATAAGATGCCCCCAAACCCCCATAAGATGCCCTCAAACCCCCATAAGATGCCCTCAAACCCCCCATAAGATGCCCTCAAGATGCCCTCAAACCCCATAAGTTGCCCTCAACCCCGATAAGATGCCCTCAAACACCCTAATATGCACACAAACCCCCATAAGATGCCCCCAAACCCCCATAAGATGCCCTCAAACCCCCCTAAGATGCCCTCAAACCCACTTAAGATGCCCCCAAACCCCCTTAAGATGCCCCCAAACCCCCCATAAGATGCCCTCAAACCTCCTAAAATACCCTCAAACCCACTTAAGATGCCCTCAACTCTCTTAAGATGCGCTCAAACCCCCTAAAATACCCTCAAACCCACTTAAGATGCCCTCAACTCCCTTAAGATGCGCTCAAACCCCCTAAAATACCCTCAAACCCACTTAAGATACCCTCAACCCCCCTAAGATGCACTCAAACCCCCTTAAGATGCCCTCAAACCCCCTCTAAGATGCCCTCAAACCCCCTTAAGATGCCCCTAAACCTGCTTAAGATGCCCTCAAACCCACTTAAGATTCCCTCAAGACCCCCATAAGATGACCCCGAACCCCCTTAATATGGCCCAACCCCCCCATAGATGCCTTCAACCCCCTCTAAGATGCACTCAAACCGCCCCAAGATGCCCTCAAACCCCCATAAGATGCCCTCAAACCCCCATGTGTTACCTCAAAACCTGTATTAGATGGCCCCAAACCCATACTAAATGCCCCAAACCGCCCTAAGATGCCCCCAAACCCCCATATGATGCCCTCAAACCCCTACAAGATGCCCTCAAACCCCCATAAGATGCCCTCAAACCCCATAAGATGCCCCCAAACCCATACTAAATGCCCCCAACCCCCCTAAGATGCCCATAAACCCCCCTAAGATGCCCTCAAACCACCATAAGATGCCCTCAAACCACCATAAGATGCCCTCAACCCCCCCTAAGATGCCCCCAAACCCCCCTAAGATGACCTCAAACCCCCCTAAGATGCCCTCAAACCCCCTTAAGATGCCCTCAAACCCCCATAAGATGCCCTCAACCCCCATAAGATGCCCTCAAACCCCCATAAGATGCCCTCAAACCCCCATAAGATGCCCTCAAACCCCCCTAAGATGCCCTCAAACCCCCTTAAGATGCCCCCAAACCCCCCTTAAGATGCCCTCAAACCCCATAAGATGCCTTCAACCCCGATAAGATGCCCTCAAACACCCTAATATGCACACAAACTCCCATAAGATGCCCCCAAACCCCCGTAAGATGCCCTCAAACCCCTACAAGCTGCCCTCAACCCCCATAAGATGCCCTCAAACCCACTAATATGCCCTCAAACCCCCTAATATGCCCTCAAACCCCCATAAGATCCCCCAAACCCCCATAAGATGCCCTAAAACTCCCCTAAGATGCCCTCAAACCCCCATAAGATGCCCTCAAACCACCATAAGATGCCCTCAACCCCCCCTAAGATGCCCCCAAACCCCCCTAAGATGACCTCAAACCCCCCTAAGATGCCCCCCCCCCCCCCGGGCCCCCGTTGCCCCCCATACCCTATTGATGAGCTCTCCCACCATGCCGGTCCAGGACCCATTGGGCTCGGGGGCCCCATAGAGCCCGTCCTCCACCAGCTTGATGTGGAAGCGGAACTTGAGGAGCCCGGCAAGCTCCTGCAGCATGTCCACGCAGAAGCCCTCGTAGCGCTCGGGGCCGCCCGCGCCCCCCACCCGCATCACGTAGGGGTTCTCCTATGGGGTGGGATTGGGAAGGGATGGGGACGGGCACGGGAGAGGGAGGATGGAGAGGTTGGAGCGATGGGGAAGGCAAGAGGGAGGCAATGGAGAGCACAAAGGGGATTCCAGTGGAGAGCCCAAGAGGAACCCAATGGAGAACTCAAGAGAAACCCAATGGAGAGCCCAAGAGGAACCCAATGGAGAGCCCAAGAGGAACCCAATGGAGAGCCCAAGAGGAACCCAATGGAGAGCCCAAGAGAAACCCAATGGAGAGCCCAAGAGGAACCCAATGGAGAACCCAAGAGGAACCCAATGGAAAACCCAAGAGGAGCCCAATGGAGGTACCCCATGAGATCGCAATGGAGAGCACAAAGGGGAACCCAATGGAGAACCCAACAGGAACCCAATGGAGAACCCAGTGGAGATACCCCATGAGATCGCAATGGGGAACCCAAGAGGAACCCATTGGAGAGCCCAAGAGGAACCCAATGGAGAGCCCAAGAGGAACCCAATGGAGAACCCAAGAGGAACCCAATGGCAAGACCAAGAGGAACCCAATGGAGAACCCAAGAGGAACCCAATGGAGAACCCAAGAGGAACCCAATGGAGAACCAAAGAGGAACCCAATGGAGAACCCAAGAGGAACCCAATGGAGAGCCCAGAGGAGATACCCCATGAGATCGCAATGGGGAGCACAAAGGGGATCCCAGTGGAGAGCCCAAGAGGAACCCAATGGAGAACCCAAGAGGAACCCAATGGAGAACCCAAGAGGAACCCAATGGAGAACCAAAGAGGAACCCAATGGAGAACCCAATGGAGATACCCCATGAGATCGCAATGGGGAAACCAAGAGGAACCCAATGGAGAACCCAAAGGAGATACCCCATGAGATCACAATGGAGACCTCAAGAGGAACCCAATGGAGAACCCAAGGAGGACCCAATGGAGAACCCAAGAGGAACCCAATGGAGAGCCCAATGGAGATACCCCATGAGATCGCAATGGGGAGCACAAAGGGGAACCCAATGGAGAACCCAAGAGGAACCCAATGGGGAGCCCAATGGAGGTACCCCGTGAGATCCCAATGGAGAACACAAGGACCCAATGGAGAACCCAAGGATGAGCCCAATGGAGAACCCAAGAGTGAACCCAATGGAGACCCCAAGATGACCCCAATGGAGAACCCAATGGAGAACCCAAGGGAGAACCCAAGGGTGAACCCAATGGAGAACCCAATGGAGAACCCAATGGAGACCCCAAGACAACAACAATGGAGAACCCAATGGACAACCTAATGGACAACCCAATGGATAACCCAAGGGTAAACCCAATGGACAACCCAATGGAGACCCCAAGACGACCCCAATGGAGAACCCAATGGAGACCCCAAGATGACACCAATGGAGAACCCAATGGAGAACCCCAATGGAGAACCCAATGGACAACCCAATGGAGACCCCAAGACGACACCAATGGAGAACCCAATGGAGAACCCAAGGGTAAACCCAATGGACAACCCAATGGAACACCCAATGGAGACCCCAAGATGACACCAATGGAGAACCCAATGGAGAACCCCAATGGAGAACCCAATGGACAACCCAATGGAGACCCCAAGATGACCCCAATGGAGAACCCAATGGAGAACCCCAATGGAGAACCCAATGGACAACCCAATGGAGACCCCAAGATGACCCCAATGGACAACCCAATGGAGAACCCAATGGAGACCCCAAGACGACCCCAATGGAGAACCTAATGGACAACCCAATGGAGACCCCCAATGGAGAACCCAATGGACAACCCAACGGAGACCCCAAGACGACCCCAATGGAGACCCCCAATGGACAACCCAACCCAAACCCCAACGGAGACCCCAACCGAAGACCCCCGGTGACTTCCCCCCCCCTCCCCCAAGTTCCAGAGCCCCACCAGGAGCAGAAGCAGCCCCATAGATGCCAACAGCCCCCCTCAATGGGGCTGCGCCAGCCCCACTCACCAGGATGGTGGTGATGATGAGGGTCTTGTTGGCCAAGCTATCGGAGGCGTTGACGGCCAAGGTGGCGGCGTCCATGGCCAAGGTCCTATTGGAGTACCACACACCCACCTGTGGGGGGGGACGGGGACGGGGACGGGAGCATGGGGCAGCCGTGGGGCAGCCGTGGGGCGGAAGTGGGGCGGAAGTGGGGCAGGCCTGACCTCGCGGTGCCCATCGCGCCCCTTCTCCAGCACGTGGAGGGTGTAGTTGGTCCTCTGGCCCTTGCTGTTGAACTCGATGCGCCCCGTCAAGCCATCGTACTCCACCTGTGGGGGGGGACAGAGGTTGTGGGGCACCCCCCAACCTGCCCCACACATGTGGGGACAGCTCCCGCGAAGGGTTCGGGGTCCTCCAAGGGGTGGTTTTTTGGACCCCGTAGACCTCCATTGAGCCCCATAAGCAGCAGTTCAGCCCCAGAGCCACCCGTTGAGCCCCATAGGACCCCATTGAGCCCCATAGCACCAGGTCAGCTCCATAGGCCCCCATTGAGCCCCATAGGCCCCCATTGAGCCCCATAGCTGCCCGCTGAGACCCATAGACACGCAATGATCCCCAGAGCCATCCATTGATCCCCATAGCCACCCATTGAGCCCCATAGGACCCCATTGAGCCCCATAGCACCAAGTCAGCTGTATAGGCCCCCATTGAGCCCCATAGGACCCCATTGAGCCCCATAGCACCAGGTCAGCTCCATAGGCCCCCATTGAGCCCCATAGGACCCCATTGAGCCCCATAGCTGCCCACTGAGACCCATAGCCACGCAATGATCCCCAGAGCCATCCATTGATCCCCATAGCCACCCATTGAGCCCCATAGGACCCCATTGAGCCCCATAGCACCAGGTCAGCTCCATAGGACCCCATTGAGCCCCATAGGCCCTCCATTGAGCCCCATAGCTGCCCACTGAGACCCATAGCCACCCATTGATTCCCAGAGCCATTCATTGATCCCCATAGCCACCCATTGAGCCCCATAGCACCAGGTCAGCTCCATAGAATCCATTGAGCCCCATAGGCCCTCCATTGAGACCCATAGCCGCCCACTGAGACCCATAGCCACCCATTGATCCCCATTAATCCCCACTGAGCCCCACAGCCACCCATTGGTCCCCATAGCCCCCATTAAGCCCTATACTCCCCCATTGAGCCCCATAGCCTCCATTGAGCCCCATAGCCGCCCATTGATCCCCATAGCACAACTTCAGCCCCGTAGCCACCCATTGAACCCCATAGGCCCCCGTTGAACCCCGTAGCATCAGTTCAGCCCCATAGCCACCCATTGAGCCCCATAGCCTCCATTGAGCCCCATAGCAACACAATGAACCCCATAGCCACCCATTGAGCCCCATAAGCCCCCACTGAGCCCCATAGGCCCCCATTAAACCTCATAGCACCAGTTCAGCCCCATAGCCACCCATTGAGCCCCATAGCCACCCATTGAGCCCCATAGCCGCCAATTGAGCGCCAGAGCCACCCATTGAGCCCCATAGGCTCCCATTGAACCCCATAGCACCAGTTCAGCCCCATAGGCCCCCACTGAGCTCCATAGCACCAGTTCAGCCCCATAGCCACCCATTGAATCCCATAGCCACCCATTGACCCCCATTGAGCCCCACTGAGCCCCATAGCCGCCCACTGAGCCCCAGAGCTACCCACTGATCCCAATAGGGCCCCATTGAACCCCATAGCACCACTTCAGCCCCATGGCCACCCATTGAGCCCCATAGCCACCCATTGAGACCCATAGACCCCCATTGAATCCCATAGGCCCCCACTGAATCCCATAGCACCACTTCAGCCCCATAGGTCCCCATTGATCCCCATAGGCCCCCACTGAGCCCCACTGAGCCCCATAAGCCCCCATTGAGCCCCATAGAGCCCCACTGAGCCCCAGACCCACCCAGTGATCCCCATAGCTCCAGTTAAGCCCCATAGCCACCCATTGATCCCCATAGACCTCCATTGAGCCCCATAGCCACCCATTGAACCCCATAGCCACCCATTGATCCCCATAGACCTCTATTGAGCCCCACAGCCACCCATTGAACCCCATAGCCACCCATTGATCCCCATAGACCTCTATTAAGCCCCACAGCCACCCATTGAACCCCATAGCCACCCATTGAACCCCATAGCCGCCCCATAGCCACTCATTGAATCCTATAGCCACCCATTGAACCCCATAGCCACCAATTGAACCCCATAGCCACCCATTGAACCCCATAGCCGCCCCATAGCCACCCCATAGGCACCCCATTGCCCCCATAGCCGCCCCATAGCCGCCCCATAGGCACCCCATAGCCCCCATAGATGCCCCATAGCCGCCCCATAGCCACCCATTGAACCGCATAGCCGCCCCATAGCCACCCATTGATCCCCATAGCCACCCATTGAACCCCATAGCCCCCATAGCCACCCCATAGCTGCCCCATAGGCACCCCATAGCCCCCATAGCCCCCATAGCCACCCATAGCCGCCCCATAGCCACCCATTGAACCCCATAGCCGCCCCATAGGCACCCCATAGACGCCCCATAGCCGCCCATTGAACCACATAGCCGCCCCATAGCCACCCATTGATCCCCATAGCCACCCATTGAACCCCATAGCCACCCATTGATACCCATAGCCGCCATTGAGCCCCATAACCGCCCCATAGCCGCCCCATAGCCACCCACTGATCCCCATAGCCACCCATTGAACCCCATAGCCACCCATAGCCGCCCCATAGCCACCCATTGATCCCCATAGCCCCCCATTGATCCCCATAGCCCCCATAGCCCCCATAGCCACCCCATATCCGCCCCATAGCCCCCATAGCCCCCCCATAGCCACCCCATAGCCCCCATAGCCACCCATTGAACCCCATAGCCCCCATAGCCGCCCCATATCCACCCCATATCCGCACCATATCCGCCCCATAGCCACCCATTGAACCCCATAGCCCCCATAGCCCCCATAGCCCCTATAGCCACCATAGCCGCCCCATAGCCGCCTCATAGCCACCCATTGAACCCCATAGCCACCCCATAGCCACCCATTGAACCCCATAGCCGCTCCATAGCCGCCCCATAGCCGCCCCATAGCCGCCCCATAGCCCCCATAGCCACCCCATACCCGCCCCATAGGCGCCCCATAGCCGCCCCATAGCCTCCCCATAGCCACCCATTGATCCCTGTAGCCTCCATTGAGTCCCATAGCCACCCCTTAGCCGCCCCATAGCCACACATTGAACCCCATAGCCGCCCCATAGCCGCCCCATAGCGCCCCATAGCTGCCCCATAGCTGCCCCATAGCTGCCCCATATCCACCCCATAGCTGCCCCATAGCCACCCCATAGGCCCCCCATAGCCCCCATAGCCACCCATTGAACCCCATAGCCGCCCCATAGCCGCTCCATAACCGCCCCATAGCCGCCCCATAGCCACCCATTGAACCCCATAGCCACCCCATAGCTGCCCCATAGCCCCCATAGCCGCCCCATAGCCACCCATTGAACCCCATAGCCACCCATTGAACCCCATAGCCGCCCCATAGCCACCCATTGATCCCCATAGCCACCCATTGATCCCCATAGCCCCCATATCCGCCCCATATCCGCCCCATAGCCGCCCCATAGCCACCCATTGAACCCCATAGCCACCCATTGAACCCCATAGCCCCCATATCCGCCCCATATCCGCCCCATAGCCACCCATTGAACCCCATAGCCCCCATAGCCACCCCATAGCCGCCCCATAGCCACCCCATAGCCACCCCATAGCCGCCCCATATCCATAGCCACCCCATAGCCGCCCCATAGCCACCCCATAGCCGCCCCATAGCCACCCACTGAACCCCATAGCCACCCATAGCCGCCCCATAGCCACCCATTGAACCCCATAGCCGCCCCATATCCGCCCCATAGCCACCCATTGAACCCCATAGCCGCCCCATAGCCGCTCCATAACCGCCCCATAGCCGCCCCATAGCCACCCATTGAACCCCATAGCCACCCCATAGCTGCTCCATAGCCACCCATAGCCGCCCCATAGCCACCCACTGATCCCCATAGCCACCCATTGAACCCCATATCCGCCCCATAGCCACCCATTGATCCCCATAGCCACCCATTGATCCCCATAGCCCCCATATCCGCCCCATAGCCGCCCCATAGCCGCCCCATAGCCACCCATTGAACCCCATAGCCACCCATTGAACCCCATAGCCCCCATATCCGCCCCATATCCGCCCCATAGCCACCCATTGAACCCCATAACCACCCATTGAACCCCATAGCCCCCATAGCCACCCCATAGCCACCCATTGATCCCCATAACCACCCATTGAACCCCATAGCCACCCATAGCCGCCCCATAGCCACCCATTGAACCCCATAACCACCCATTGAACCCCATAGCCACCCATAGCCGCCCCATAGCCACCCATTGAACCCCATAGCCCCCATAGCCACCCCATATCCACCCCATATCCGCCCCATATCCGCCCCATAGCCACCCATTGAACCCCATAGCCCCCATAGCCGCCCCATATCCACCCCATATCCACCCCATATCCGCCCCATAGCCACCCATTGAACCCCATAGCCGCCCCATAGCCCCCATAGCCGCCCCATAGCCACCCATTGAACCCCATAGCCACCCCATAGCCACCCATTGAACCCCATAGCCGCCCCATAGCCGCCCCATAGCCGCCCCATAGCCGCCCCATAGCCACCCCATAGCCGCCCCATAGCCCCCATAGCCGCCCCATAGCCTCCCCATAGCCACCCATTGATCCCTGTAGCCTCCATTGAGTCCCATAGCCACCCCTTAGCCGCCCCATAGCCACACATTGAACCCCATAGCCTCCACATAGCCACCCATTGAACCCCATAGCTGCCCCATAGCCACCCATATCCGCCCCATAGCCCCCATATCCACCACATAGCCACCCCATATCTGCCCCATATCCGCCCCATAGCCCCCATAGCCACCCCATAGGCCCCCCATAGCCCCCATAGCCACCCATTGAACCCCATAGCCGCCCCATAGCCACCCCATAGCCACCCCATAGCCCCCTTAGCCGCCCCATAGCCACACATTGAACCCCATAGCCTCCACATAGCCACCCATTGAACCCCATAGCTGCCCCATAGCCGCCCCATATCCGCCCCATAGCCCCCATATCCACCACATAGCCACCCCATATCTGCCCCATATCCGCCCCATAGCCCCCATAGCCACCCCATAGGCCCCCCATAGCCCCCATAGCCACCCATTGAACCCCATATCCGCCCCATAGCCACCCCATAGCCACCCCATAGCCCCCATAGCCGCCTCATAGCCACCCATTGAACCCCATAGCCCCCATAGCCGCCCCATAGCCACCCCATAGCCACCCCATAGCCACCCATTGAACCCCATAGCCCCCATAGCCACCCCATAGCCACCCATTGAACCCCATAGCCCCCATAGCCGCCCCATAGCCACCCCATATCCGCCCCATAGCCGCCCCATAGCCACCCATTGAACCCCATATCCGCCCCATAGCCCCCATAGCCACCCCATAGGCCCCCCATAGCCCCCATAGCCCCCATAGCCACCCATAGCCACCCCATAGCCACCCCATATCCGCCCCATATCCACCCCATAGCCACCCCATATCCGCCCCATAGCCCCCATAGCCGCCCCATATCCGCCCCACAGCTCTCACCATGCGCAGGTAGTTCATGAGGCTGGTACCCGGGGCCCAGATGCCCGGCGCGGTGCAGGCCAGGGCGCGACCCCCAACCTCCTGGCTCCGGTTGAGGGCGCGAACGGCGCCGACCACCACGTGCACGGCGTCGAAGAGGAGAGCGGCTGAGAGCTGGGGGGGGGGAGGGGCATGGGGGGTGGGGGAGGGGATGGAGGGGGTGGGGGAGGGGAGGAATGGGGGGTGGGGGAGGAGGTTGGATGTGGGGGGTGGGGGAGGGGAGGAATGGGGGGGTGGGGGGAGGGGATGGGATTTGGGGTTGAGGGAGGGGAGGGGATGTGGGGGGGGGGAAGGTGGGATGGGGTGGGGGAGGGGAAGGGGAGGGGATGGGGTGGGGGTTGGGGGAGGGGGAGGGATGGGATGTGGGGGTGGGAAAGGGGAGGGGTGGGGGAAGGGTGGGATGGGGTGGGGGAGGGGGATGTGGGGGGTGGGGGAGGGGAGGGATGGGATGGGATGGGATGGGATGGGGGGAGGGGAGAGGATGTGGGGATGGGTTAGGGTTAGGGTTAGGGATGGGGGGGAGGGGGAGGGGATGGGATGTGGGGGTTGGGAGAGGGGAGGGGTGGGGGGAGGGGTGGGATGGGGTGGGGGAAGGGTGGGGTGGTGTTTGGGGGAGGGGAGGGATGGGGTGGGGGAGGGGAAGGGGAGGGGATGGGGTGGGGGTTGGGGGAGGGGAAAAGATGGGATGTGGGGGTGGGAAAGGGGAGGGGTGGGGGGAGGGTGGGATGGGATGGGGGAGGGGATGTAGGGGGTGGGGGAGGGGTGGGGTGGGATGGGATGGGGGGAGGGGTGGGTAGGTGGGGGGTGGGGGAGGGGATGTAGGGGGTGGGGGAGGGGTGAGGTGGGGTGGGATGGGATGGGGGGTGGGGGAGGGGTGGGGGGTGGGGAGGGGATTCGGGGGGTGGGCAAAGGATGGGTTGGGGGTGTGGGGGATGGGAGTTTAGCGGATGTGGGGTGGGGGGAGATGGAGAGACAGGATCTGGGTTCCCATTGGGTCTTGGTGTCCCCCATTGGCTTCTAGGTCCCCCATTGGCTTCAAGGCCCCCCATTGGGTCTTGGTGTCCCCCACTGGGTATTGCTGCCCCCCATTGGGTCTTGGTGTCTCCTATTGGGTCTTGGTGTTGCCTATTGGGTTCTGGGGTCCCCCATTGCGTCTTGGTGTCCCCCATTGGGTCTTGGCATCGCCTATTGGGTTCCATGTCTCACGTTGGGTCTTGCTGCCCCCCATTGGCTTCTAGGTCCCCCAATTGGGTCTTGGCGCCCCCCATTGGCCTTTGGGTCCCCCATTGGCTTCTAGGTCCCCCATTGGGTCTTGGTGTCCACCATTGGCTTCTAACCCCACATTGGGTCTTGCTGTCTCCCATTGGCTTCTATGTCCCCCATTGGGTCTTGGTGCCTTCTATTGGGTCTTGGTGTCCCCCATTGGCTCTTGGTGTCCCCCGTTGGGTCTTGGTGTCCCCCATTGGGTTCTATCGCCCCCATTGAGTTCTAGGCCCCCATTGGGTCTTGGTGTCCCCCATTGGGTTCTATCGCCCCCATTGGGTCTTGGTGCCTTCTATTGGGTCTTGGGGTCCCCCACTGGCTTCTATGTCCCCCATTGAGCTCTAGGGCCCCATTGGGTCTCGGTGTCTCCCATTGGGTCTCAGTGTCCCCCATTCTGTCTTGGGGTCTCCCACTGGGTCTTGGTGTCCCCCATTGGGTCTTGCAGTCCCCCATTGGCTTTTGGGTCCCCCATTGGATTCTATGTCCCCCATTGGGTCTTGCTGTCTCCCATTGGCTTCTAGGGCCCCCATTGGGTCTTTTGTCCCCCATTGGGTCTTGGTGTCCCCCATTGTGTCTTGGTGTCTTCCAATGGGTTTTAGGTCCCCATTGGGTCTTGGTGTCCCCTATTGTGTCTTGGTGTCTCCCATTGGGTCTTGGTGTCCCCCATTGGGTCTTGGTGCCCCCCATTGGGTCTTGGTGTCTTCCAATGGGTTTTAGGTCCCCATTGGGTCTTGGTGTCCCCCATTGTGTCTTGGTGTCTCCCATTGTGTCTTGGTGTCCCCCATTGGGTCTTGGTGCCCCCCATTGTGTCTTGGTGTCTCCCATTGTGTCTTGGTGTCCCCCATTGTGTCTTGGTGTCTCCCATTGGGTCTTCGTGCCCCCAGTTGGATTCTAGGTCCCCATTGGGTGTTGGTGTCCCTCATTGGGTCTCGGTGTCCCCCACTGGGTCTTGGGGTCTCCAATTGGGTCTTGGTTTCCTCCATTGAGTTCTAGGCCTGCCATTGGCTTCAAGTACCCCATTGGGTCTTGGTGTCCCTCATTGGGTCTTGGTGTCCCTCATTGGGTCTTGGTGTCCCCCACTGGGTCTTGGTGTCCCCCATTCACTTCTATGTCCCCCATTGGGTCTTGGTGTCTCCCATTGGGTCTTACTGACCCCACTGGCTTCTAGGCCCCCATTGGGTCTTGGTGTCCCCCATTGGCTCTTGGTGTCTCCCATTGGGTCTTGGTTTCTCCCATTGGCTTCTTGGTCCCCCATTGGCTTCAAGGCCCCCCATTGGGTCTTGGTGTCCCCTATTGGGTCTTGGTGCCCCCCATTGCCTTCTATGTCCCCCATTGAGTTCTAGGCCCCCCATTGGGTCTTGGTGTCCCCCATTGGGCCTTGGTATCCCCCATTGGCCTCTAGGTCCCCCATTGGGTCTTGGTGTGCCCCATTGGCTCTTGGTGCCCCCCATTGACTTCTATGTCCCCCATTGGGTCTTGGTGCCCCCCATTGACTTCTATGTCCCCCATTGGGTCTTGGTGTCTCCCATTGGGTCTTGGTGCCCCCCATTGGCTTCTAGCTCCCCCATTGAGTTCTAGGTCCCCCATTGGCTCTTGGTGTCCCCCATTGGCTCTTGGTGTCCCCCACTGGGTCTTGGTGTCCCCCATTGGGTCTTGGTGTCCCCCACTGGGTCTTGGTGTCTCCCATTAGGTCTTGGTGTCCCCCATTGGGTCTTGGTGTCCCCCATTGGGTCTTGGGGTCCCCCATTGGCTTCTAGGCCCCCCATTGGGTCTTGGTGTCTCCCATTGGGTCTTGGTGTCTCCCATTGGGTCTTGCTGCCCCCCATTGGCTTCTAGGTCCCCATTGGGTCTTGGTGTCCCCCATTGGGTCTTGGTGTCTCCCATTGGGTCTTGGTGTCCCCCATTGGCTTCTAGGTCCCCCATTGGCTTCAAGGCCCCCCATTGGGTCTTGGTGTCTTCCATTGGGTCTTGGTGTCCCCCATTGGTTTCTAGGTCTTGGTGTCTCCCATTGGGTCTTGGTGCCCCCCATTGACTTCTATGTCCCCCATTGGGTCTTGGTGTCCCCCATTGGGTCTTGGTGCCCCCCATTGGCTCTTGGTGCCCCCCATTGACTTCTATGTCCCCCATTGGGTCTTGGTGTCTCCCATTGGCTTCTAGGTCCCCCATTGGCTTCAAGGCCCCCCATTGGGTCTTGGGGTCCCCCATTGGGTCGTGGTGTCCCTCATTGGGTCTTGTTGTCTCCCATTGTGTCTTGGTGTCTCCCATTGGGTCTTGCTGCCCCCCATTGGCTTCTAGGTCCCCATTGGGTCTTGGTGTCCCCCATTGGCTTCTAGGTCCCCCATTGGGTCTTGGTGTCTCCCATTGGGTCTTGGTGTCTCCCATTGGGTCTTGGTGTCCCCCATTGGTTTCTATGTTCCCCATTGAGTTCTAGGCCCCTCATTGGGTCTTGGTGCCCCCCATTGGGTCTTGGTGTCTCCCATTGCCTTCTATGCCCCCCATTGGCTCTTGTTGCCTCCCATTGCCTTCTATGCCCCCCATTGGCTCTTGTTGCCTCCCATTGCCTTCTATGCCCCCCATTGGCTCTTGCTCTCCCCCATTCCCCACCCCCATTCCCATCTCCTCACCGCGGGGCCCGGGTAGGGGCTTCGCCCGCAGCTCTCGCGCCACGAGAGGTTGAGGCTGCGCTCGAACTCGCCGTAGAACGGGTGGCTCGTGTTGAAGAGGGAGAAACCCAGCACCGAGCTGGGCGCCGCCGAGCCCAGGCGCAGCAGCGGGAAGTCCTGTGGGGCACGGCCAGGGGGCGCTATGGGGCGCTATGGGGGGTTATGGGGTTCTATGGGGTTCTATGGGGTATATATGGGGTGGATATGGGGTGGTTATGGGGTTCTATGGGGTGCTATGGGGTGTCTATGGGGAGCTATGGGGTGGTATGGAGTGGTTATGGGGTGGATATGGGGTGCTATTGGGGGGATATGGAGTGTCTATGGGGTGCTATGGGGTGGTTATGGGGTGCTACGGGGTTCTATGGGGCGCTATGGGGCACTATGGAGTGTCTATGGGGTGCTATGGGGGGGTCTATGGGGTGCTATGGGGTGGCTATGGGGTTCTATGGGGTGCTATAGGGTGGCTATGGGGTTCTATGGGGTGCTATGGGTGGCTATGGGGTTCTATGGGGTGCTATGGGGTGTCTATGGGGTGCTATGGGGTGCTATGGGGTTCTATGGGGTGCTATAGGGTGTCTATGGGGTGTCTATGGGGTGCTATGGGGTGTCTATGGGGTTCTATGGGGTGCTATAGGGTGGCTATGGGGTGCTATGGGGTTCTATGGGGTGCTATGGGGCGCTATGGGGTGGCTATGGGGTTCTATGGGGTTCTATGGGGTATATATGGGGTGGATATGGGGTGGTTATGGGGTTCTATGGGGTGCTATAGGGTGGCTATGGGGTGTCTATGGGGTTCTATGGGGTGCTATAGGGTGGCTATGGGGTTCTGTGGGGTGCTATAGGGTGTCTATGGGGTGCTATAGGGTGTCTATGGGGTGCTATGGGTGTCTATGGGGTGCTATGGGGTAGAAGGGGTGGCTCGTGTTGAAGAGGGAGAAACCCAGCACCGAGCTGGGCGCCGCCGAGCCCAGGCGCAGCAGCGGGAAGTCCTGTGGGGCACGGCCAGGGGGCGCTATGGGGCGGCTATGGGGTGTCTATGGGGTGTCTATGGGGTGCCTATGGGGTGTCTATGGGGTGCTATGGGGTGGCTATGGGGTGGCTATGGGGTGCTATGGGGTGGCTATGGGTGGCTATGGGGTGCTATGGGGGTCTATGGGGTGCTATGGGGTTGTTCATGATATCCATGGGTTCTATGGGGTGCTATGGGGTGTCTATGGGGTGCTATAGGGTGTCTATGGGGTTCTATGGGGTGCTATAGGGTGGCTATGGGGTGCTATAGGGTGGCTATGGGGTGCTATGGGGTGGCTATGGGGTGCTATAGCGTGGCTATGGGGTTCTATGGGTGTCTATGGGGTGCTATAGGGGTGCTATAGGGTGGCTATGGGGTTCTATGGGGTGCTATAGGGTGTCTATGGGGTGCTATAGGGTGGCTATGGGGTGCTATGGGGTGGCTATGGGGTGCTATGGGGTGGCTATGGGGTGCTATGGGGTGCTATGGGGTTCTATGGGGTGCTATAGGGTGGCTATGGGGTGCTATAGGGTGGCTATGGGGTGCTATGGGGTGCTATGGGGTGCTATAGGGTGGCTATGGGGTGTCTATGGGGTGCTATAGGGTGGCTATGGGGTGGCTATGGGGTGCTATGTGGTAGTTATGGAGTGGATATGGGTTGTTATGGGGTGACTATGGGGTGCTTTGGGGCGCTATGGGGAGCTATGGTGTGGATATAGGGTTGTTATGGGGTGCTATGGGGCTCTATGGAGCGCTATGGGGTGCTATGGGGTGCTATGGGGTGGCTATGGGGTGGCTATTGGGTGGCTATGTTGTGGCTATGGGGCACTATGTGGTGCTATAGGGTGGCTATGGGGTGCTATGGGGTGGCTATGGGGTTCTATGGGTCTCTATGGGTTCGTTATAGGGAGTTAAGGGGGCATTCCATGGGGTGTTTATAGGAGGTTATGGCAGCATTCTATGGGGTGGCTATGGGGTTCTATGGGGTGGTTCTAGGGGTTAAGGGCATTCTATGGGGTGGATATGGGGCGCTATGGGGTTCTATGGGGTGCTATGGTGTTCTATGGGGCCCTATGGGGTTCTATGGGATGCTATGGGGTTCTATGGGGTGCTATGGGGCTCTATGGAGCACTATGGGGTGGCTATGGTGTTCGATGGGGCGCTATGGGGTACTTTGGGGTGGCTATGGGGTGCTATGGGGCTCTATGGAGCAGTATGGGGTGGCTATGGTGTTCGATGGGGTGCTATGGGGTACTTTGGGGTGGCTATGGTGTTCTATGGGGTTCTATGGGGTTCTATGGGGTTCTATGGGGTTCTATGGGGTGGCTATGGGGCTCTCTGGGGTGGCTATGGGGCGCTATGGGGTTCTATGGGGTTCTATGGGGTTCTATGGGGTGGCTATGGGGTTCTATGGGGCGCTATGGGGTACTGTGGGTTGGCTATGGGGTTCTATGGAGTGCTATGGGGTTCTATGGGGTGCTATGGGGTTCTATGGGGTGCTATGGGGTGCTATGGGGTGGCTATGGGGCGCTATGGGGCTCTATGGGGCAGGTGCTCACCATGGTGGTCAAGATGTACTTGTAGAAGGCTGAGGTCATGCCCAGCTCGGAGGCCTGGAGGGGGGGAACAAGGTGGGGCTGACCCATAGCGGCTCTGCCCCATGGCTCCAAGGCCTCCCTATAGCCCCCATCCCCCCCATAGCCCCATATCCCCCATATCCCCCATATGCCCCATAGCCCACATGCACCCTATAGCCCCCATCCCCCCCATAGCCCCTATCCACCCCATCCCCCCCACACCCCCCATACCCCCCATCCCCCCCATAACCTCCATCCCCCCATAACCCCCATCCTACCCCTATAGCTCCCCACACCCCCATAGCCCCATCCACCCCATCCCCCCCATGTCCCCATTGTCCCCATCCCCCCCATAACCCCCATCCACCCCATCCGCCCCACACCCCCCATAGCCCCCATAGGCCCCATCGCCCCCATCCCACCATCCCCCACATGTCCCCATTGTCCCCATCCCCCCCATAACCCCCATCCACCCCATCCCCCCCATAACCCCCATCCCCCCCATCCCCCCCACACACCCCATACCCCCATCCACCCCATAGCCCCCATCCACGTCTTCCCCCCCATCCCCCCCATCCACCCCACCCCCCCCATGCTCCCATACCCCCCATCCCCCCATAACCCCCATCCCCCCATACCCCCCATCCCCCCATAACCCCCGACCACCCCATCCCCCCCAATCCCCATCCCCCCCACCCCCCCATACCCCCCACGACCCCATAACCCCCATCCACCCATCCCCCCCACACCCCCATACCCCCCATGCTCCCATCCCCCCCATACGCCCCATAACCCCCATCCCCCCCCACCCCTCCCCCACCTTGCTCAGCACCACACTGATGCTCCCATCGA